CAAGAATTGCAATAGATAGGTCTACTCGATTGAGCGTATCGTTTCTCTCGGTTGTCTACCAATAGAATCATCCCGACAGGGATTCGCAGAGAACCGTTCGCTTCATCATTTTGGAGCATCGGGCTTCACTTTCATGATGAAAAAATATTTGAAGAAGATGTACATCCAACAGTCAAAACAAAAACTGATCGATTCACTAATCCTCGGATCAAAATTCGATTGAAGTTGAGTGAAGATATTCAACTTCATTTAATGAACATTATCAGCATAGAAATCAATTTGTATGAATAACAATAGCAGCTTAATTCAAAGATAAAATTCTAGATTAGAAATCAAGAAACAAAAGTCATTTCTCATTGATATATCAATCGACAAAAAAAAACAAATCTGTTTTCTTCATGCAAATCGATTCTGTCTCAATTCAACGAAAGAAAAAAAGAAAAGTTTCGTCTCATATCGACAATAGATCAATCGTGTTGTTTCATTTGTTGTAAATACCTCAAATATTAGTAGCTGTGTTGTTGCTTTTGTTTTCAATCACAGTCACTTTTTATTGTATTGTTTACGAAGTATTTGTAAAATATTTTTTTTAATTTTTTAAGTTTCATACCCCAAACAACTTTTTATGTTTTTGTAATAGCCTATTATTATTGTTTGGCCTATAAGCTGAGTTAAAATTATAAATTAACTAGCTACAAACAGACAGAAAGAATTTATGTTGAAAATGAAAACCTTTTTCTAGCATATTTATAGTACGCATATAAATATGAAAGTCAGATAAATATGTCTAGCAAAAGTTAAAGTATTCCACATTAGTACGTTGTTTTATAGGTCTGCTTTGTACCAGTTTTTGCACTTCTATAAATCGCTTCTATCATTCTATGCCGAATAACAGCATCTTCCCACGTAGGGTACAAGCCTCCTTCCTTTGCGAACTCGTCGTATGCCTTTCCAACATTGACATGAGTAGCTTGTTTATCATTTAGCGCAATTTCTATCATATCTTCACCATCAAAACTTGCGTAAAGCGTCGGGAAAGAGAGTTGCAGATGTCCATTTGGTCCTCTAACTTGTAATTCACCGTGAGTACCTTCAATCTCCCATAATAGATTCGTACCTTTGTACGATCCACCACGTAAATGAACTGATGCATAAGCACCGGAAGTCAATACTCCACTGACACTCATTTGATCATGAGATGTGAGCGGTACATCACGAATTTTGTTTCCTTTTTCATCCTGAACTTCGATAGTGTCTCTTGAGTTATGAGTCGTTGCAGTAAGTGATTCGAATTCTCCCAATATATAGCACATAGCATCTAATAAATGACCACCAAGTATAGTAATCATGTTTGCTCCATTTTCAATATCAGCGAGATATGTATTGCCTTCATTAATTGCAGCACCCCAAGCAGCACCTCCTGCATACAGATGTGTTGACAAGACCTTGCCAAGCTTTCCAGAACTAATGATTTCTTTCATCTTCTTAACGACAGAGGACTGACGTGCTTGTAGTCCTACCATTGTTTTTACACCTTTTGAACGAGCCAATTGTGTAAGTTCCTCTGCTTCCTGAAGGTTTCGTCCAAGAGGCCATTCGATAATAGCATTTTTTCCTTGTAGGAGGGCAGGTGTGATGAGAGATTTATGTAGTGGAACTTTAACAGATACCACGACAGTATCAATGTCTGAATCTTGTGCTAATTCTTCTGGTGTTGCATAGTATTTATCAATACCAAATACTTCAGCTGAAGATTTCGACGATTCAGTAGTCGAATTTGAAAGTGCTTTTATAGTGTAAATCGAGGAATTTTTCAGGTAGGGTTCATGAGCACTTGATGCCCAACCTCCTTTCGAAGAAAGACCAATAAATCCGATGTTTATTTTGGAAGACATGTACGTTTAAGAAGACAGTGAGTAAATATATATGTTTGTGTGTATGCGTGACGTGTTTTTTCTTGTCAAACGTTTTTTATAAATATATAAAAAAACACACTCGTCATGCTGATGCGATTCTATTGCGTTCTCGCACACTGAAAAGTACTCTAAGGCTGTATTGTATTAATATCCTTCATGCGTTGTCATCATTATAATTATCATGTTATTTTCTGACAGAGTGAAGCTTGAGTGAGGAAAAGGAAAATCAAGCACCCAAAGAAATTCTGTGTAAAACAGCATTCGAACGCGAATATTTAGAATAAAACGCTACTTTTATGTGTCATATAATGGATCATCACTCAAAGGGAAAATATTAAAAATTCTGCTCTTATTTGTAAAATGAAAAACGTTCGCTCGATGCACGTGTGTCTTTTTGTCTCTACACCTGTTACACATATATGTGTAAGCTTGTTGGGGATATTACAGTCACATAGAAAAGAAAAAAAATTGAGAAGAGTCATTCAATGGTGCATGAAAAAATAATTACTTGATTTCCGTTGTAACCAATGCAGAAATGTATAAAACAGAATATAATGTGTGTATGATATAAAGAAGAAATGACGCTATATGAAAACAGAATTACATTGCCTTCAAATAGGATTGGCTTGGGCCTTTTTGTATTATATCCACGAACGCATTGGTTTCGATTGTGGATTCCACCGTGATAAAGTTATGATAAAGTACAAAAACTGAGTAAATATGCCATAGAAATAAGTAGCAGTTGTTTTTCGAAGGGAGTTGTAGGAGTCAAAAATGCCAACAATGAAACACGCACTTATTATTTTTGTTCTCGTTGTGAATGTATAATGTGCGTTCATATTTGACGAAGTGTGTGGTGTAAATCGAGATACGCGAGTCAGCCAAAAACCGGTCTCATCTCGCCTAGGATCTAATATAAAAAAAAAGACGTCTACTTATGCATTTTTTAATCTCATCTGAAAATTATTAATTCTCTTATTTCGTAAGATTAAATGAAGTCAGAAGTGTGACAACGAATCAAAAGTGAAAGAATGTCAAGAAATTTTTTTGAGTTCTGAAAAAGTGTATATAGGATTTTCTAGAAGAGAAGTGATAAAAGAGATTATGCTTTACTCCATCATCGCCGTGACCAAGAAGAAAAATTTATATTTCCATTGAGGCTCTATTGTACCAATTGATTTTTGCATTGATGCTAGAGGATAGTTCAAAGTTTTATTCAATAATATGGATTTCTCAAATACTCTTACAAAGTTCCAATTACATGTTCAATGTACAACTAAAGTCCTTTTTCAAGGTGCTAAAAAGCAATTTATACTGGTGTGTGGAAATTATTTCATTTTTGTTTTATCATTGGGGAGTTCCTATCATCTAGATCTATTCCTTTTCCTTGGCAACATGTTCGTCATCATCACGAAACAATAACAACAGAATAAAATATACAAAACTATTGCATTTATGTGGATCCAAATAAATTTTTTTATAGATCCTGTATCTTTATTCAATAGTATTATTTGTTAAATTATTAAGTTTGATCTAAATACATACAATCGTTCTTTATATTTTGTTTTTTTTTTGTTGTCTCTTCACGATGGTGCACATGTTCACCAGAGACTAGAACAAACTCTAGAATTTGTTAAAATTTCAACGTATTGTATTTTAACTAGATACTAAATTATTTATTGAATTTACTATTTATTTTCCTCTTCCTGATGGAATCATATAAATCATACTTATTCATTGTGATCTCATTATCGTTCTTTGTATTTTAGACCTAGTACGATATCTACTCAACAAAAACTGCATCGTAAACAGATGAGATAATTCGTCAAATCTCACACCAACACCCAAGTTTCAGCTTCCTTCGTTACTTCTGACAGGAGACTTAAACATAAGGGCATTGCTTGCCTTTTTTTACATAACAGAATTTTCCATATGTGTATATCAAAAGACAAGCTACAGAAAAAGCTGAAACTTTCAGAATGAACTAGTTTGATTGAGACTATTAGTTATGCACAGTTTCAAGTCAAAACTCAACTTTCAACGTAGTCTGAGGGCGACTATACGATTTTGTTGAAAAACTCAGTAAAAATCTATTTTTCGGAAATCTGACGCATAGAAGAGGTTCAATAAGCACCGATAGTCAGCTTCAAGTGTGAAGCATAATAGAAAAAAATACCAGGTAAATAGTTACAATCATTGCAGAGATTTCTCCTGTCTCTCTTCTTTTGTCCGATGTGCCTCACACCCATATCCTTGTGAAACGTGCAGTGCGAATTTACAGTTAAAAGAACATTCTTACTAGTGAGTAAAAACAGGTTTAGGAATTAAAGCAAATTGCCAACAGGACACGCGATAAATCAATATCTAATATATATTGTTTTGTAATTTTCTAGTATTTCGTTTGATTTAAATACAAGTATAAATTTTTTCAAATATGACATAAAAAAGAAGATGACTGATAGATAATTTATTATATTTTACAAATAAATTAAAAATATGCTTTTTTATCTACCTACTGTTTATGAATGTTATTTAAGTTTCGATAATATTCCTAGTATATTTATAAATAATGTAAATTTTTCAGTTTGATACACAATTTTAAAACGCAGTTAGAAGACTATATTTCTGTATTGTTTGTCTTTTACGTTGTTTTTTTGTTAATTTCCGATGTTATAATTATGCATTGATGCCTAGTTTTTTTCTTTCAATATTCTTCGTTATGTTCTTACAAGATAATTGCGCATGTGTTTATATTAAACATAGCTGTATATTAATAGAAGTAATTAATATACGAGACATTACTAAGTGCAGATGAAGACTGCATTTAAACTGAAAAATAGGGGTAAATAGTGTATAATTTGTTTTTTTTTACTTTTTCTCCTCATTCTCTCGTTTCTTCACTGTATGCTATATAAGGATGTGCATTAGTTTTTATTTTGAAATAGTAACAAAACTACGTTATGAAACAAAAAACAAAGATTTTGTATTGATGATTAAGAAGATCTTTTTTTTGTTTTCTTTTTCTAATTCTATTGTTATTCTAGATTTCTTAAAAAGTAATTATTCGATACCAATAACATTATCATGTCATCACATGTTACTGATGTTGAAGGTGATTGGAAAATTGTTGATTATCCCCAACATTCTGAATGTCTTAATCGTAAAATTGAAATAAAGGGTTGTGGCCTAGATCCAAATGTGTTTAAGCTTGATGTGCAACTAGTGAATCATCTAAGTTGTATTTTGAAGCATAATTCTACAAATAATCAATGGAAAATTTCTGGTTTTTCTTCAACAGAAATAAGTGGTTCACCAAAAGAAAGAGAGAAAGAAGAAGTATTCAGAAAATTAATCTCTCATTTACAAAAGTTAGAAGTCCAACATGAAGAACAATTAATTATTAAAACGAATGATGGTGAACAAGTTCGATTACAACGTGTACTTTAGTAGCGCCATGATTCATGACAAAAAATGCATTAAATTTTAATTTAACAGACAATGAACATATTGATTATATAGCTTACTAATATTTTCTCATATTTATTCGACTAACACATGTTAATATTTTAGCTTTTAATTTCATAGAAATAAATAAAACATACGTTCATTATAGCGGAAAAAAAGCATTTTAACTATAGATATTTTGCTCTTGTTAACCAAATATGATATAGATGAATGATTTGGAAAAATCAAATTTAAGAAAATTTTAAAAAATTGCAAAATGGTTTGAATAGAAAAATATTAAAGAAAAAGGGTTTTTTTTTTGAAAGATTTCTCTTTCAGTTTAGAAGAAAGATAATCGATGATATTGTCAACAAATAATGACCTGAATGTTTTTTATTTAAAGATTTGATACTACGTAGTAGTATAATTTAATCGTAATATTATTTACGGTAAAATTCCATTATGCCACACCCATATATATATATATCTATGTATGATCGTTCCTGTTTTTCTTGGTTGTTACTCGATTGTTCTTGTCCATCTCTTGTATCTTAATATCTCTCCTATTATTCATCGTTTTGCTGTATTGTTATCTCTGTTTCACATATTAAAGAAATTCAATATATTCATATTTCGTTTCTTCCTTGACAGAACTACAAGGCATGATAGTGAACATATCTTCAAGTCGTAGAAAAGATATTCATATTCACTCTAAATTAGAATAGGATTGCTGTATACAATCATTACTAATCGAGTTTCTTTTTCAATGAAATTTTTCAATCTACTATATACAAGGTGTTCCATAATAACTGAGAATAAATTGTCAATAGCATTTTTCTTGTCGTATAAGGCTGAAATTTTTATCACGTATATATATCTAATCATCGTCTTTAATTTCTTCAAGTTTCAGCTTTCTAGATAAAATTAGCGCTGAATTACAAGGATAAGATTGAAATACATGAATTTTCGCGCTTGATTTGTGTGACATCTTTATTTCTTTGCTAGTAATATTTACAAAATCCTGATCGAAAGAAACTTTACAAGACAACTTTCTTCAGAAATATAAATTATAATAAAACTCAATGCGTATGAACATGATCTTCATTGTTTTCTATAACTAGCTGTTGTCAATAAGATATTTCGCCCATCATTTGTGTACATTTTTCTTTTGAAAATATTCTTCATGCTTTAGCAATTTATTTTTCTAATTATAACGATATATCAAACACTTTTCGACCAATTTTTTCTCCTAAAGCACTCGCACACACTTTCAATTCTCCATACATCCGTAAATTTGGTATCATCATCTATGGATTCTATACAGGGTGCAACAAAAACCATTACGCCCTCTCTACAACTTAAAGTATAAATGATATCACAAAGTATTTTATAGCAAATTGATGCTCATCAAAAACTTGATTTACAGATTCGTGATCTGCGTTCACTGACATTTGAATCGAAATATTTCAGTTCAAAAACGTACAAATATCATGTCTACAGACAGATTCAATTTTGATGAATATTACGAATCTGCTATTACTTTTCGTGAAAATATGTACATGAAGAATGAAAATCGTAAAGTACGAGTACATTCTGGCATGAAATTCAAGACATTTCAATAATTTCATAGGTAATAATTGCTGTCATTACACTAATAAATCCAGTTTTTGATGAGCATTAATTTGGTATAAAATAGTTTGTGATATCATTTATACTTTAAATTGTAGAGGCGGGGGGGGGGGGGGGGGGGGGCGGAACGCAAGTAATGGTTTTGTTACACTCTGTACTCAATCAAAAGTTCTAATAAAAAAAACTCAAGTCAAAAAAATATTGATAAATGAATAGAAAACATTACAAGGCGAAATGATCTTATTTCCTATTATTTCAAATAGAACTGTGAACTTTTGATTTTTACATTCAAGCATATAGCGACGAATAAAGGTTGAGAGCATTTGTATTTTTGAATTGTCTTCTTGATGGTAATAGCTGAAAGGGTTCTATATAAGAATGGGTGGGTTCGAAAGATCCAACAAAATTTGTTGGATGAGAGTTTCTGGAAAACCAAAATCCTCAAAACTAGTTTTCTGATTCTCCACCACTTTCCTTCATCGAACTTCATTCAATTTATAGAAAGCTACAAAGCGTCAAATATGACAAAAGCATTGGAATTTTCAATAAAAACAATAGAAATATGCTTCTTGCGCATCCTCTAAATTGAATGCAGTTCTATGAGGAAAGGTCATGGAGAGTCAAAGGTGCCTCATTTTGCTTTATCAAAAACACATATTTTCTCAAAGCTTCGACTGGAAACGAGAAAAAAGCTTTTGGGAGTGTTTTTTTTTTCAGAAACCCTCATTCAAACAATTTCGTTGAATTTTTCAAACTCATAAATCCTTATAGAAAATCCTTTCAGCTACTTATATGTTTTATTTACAGATGTCTTCTAGCTATTACCATCGAGAAGAAAACTGAAAAATACAACTATTCTCAATTTTTGTCTGCTACTATATGAAAAAGGAAGAAAACGAAGAAATTAATATGGCGGGTGCAGGTATGGATGGAAAAATGCTAAAAAAAAGAAAAAAAAAGTAGAACATGTGATTCTAGATTCATTGGATTTTACCAGCATGTGGAAACGAGCACATAGAAGAGCAAATAAGAACAATATATATCCTATATATATTGAAAAGGATATAATCTTCCGAAGATATGTGTTTTTCTATAGTTTAACAATAATAATTGAAAAGCGGATTATTTAGGAATAGGAAGTTCGAGTGATATACACCACAGGAAATGAAACTATATTTGATGCTTGCAAAAAATGTAGGGAGATTATATTTGAGTGAGATAAAGAGAGCTTAACATAGAACAAGTTTCAATAGATTTAGTTGTTGTCATCACTTATGTTTGATATTGATGCTATTATTCTGATTGCATTTGCTAGGCAAAGTTTATGGACATATATTAAAATCTTGATGTTTGCATTTAGAAATAATAGCTTGAAGACAAGGTAACAACGATTCAATATGAATATTATTAATAAAGAATTATTCTGTGAAGTTACTATCAATGGGAAGCCGTTGCTCTTTATCTTCCCTATTATTTTGTCTGTACTAAAAAAAAAAACATCTCATAAAAAAAAATAATAAGATTCTTATAAAAAATTATGAGACAACAACATCAAAAATAATGAAATACACATATGTACGATCAGGTACACTCAACACAACAATAGAACATCCATATAAAAAGAGCATTGGTAATCCTTGATTATGAATGTATTTATATTCAAACGGCTAAAACGAAACGAAAACACACCAGGAAAAACAATTGTATCTTTTCGTGTTTGTCCGTTTTTGTTTTTAACAGTTGCTGAAAGTATCTTGAACTAGTGTCTTCATAAGGACGAAAGCAACTGTATAAAGAAACGGTGTCAATTTGGATATTGATTCTATCTACATCTATCCTCTTTTAAGTGCTTCATAAACTTTATTTGTTGATATACGCATGCTTGTTTGTTTATTGCCAGAGAAAAGTGGTACAATTGAGATGTTCTAGGTAGACACATTGCTGTTTCGCTTGACTCGGCAGTTTTTTCAATCATTCTCCTTCGAAAAAATATTTAAATATTTAGATTCAATCGAACAGCTTTTTCTTTGTTCAGAAACGATACTGTCTCGACGATTATCTAACATGCACAGCCTGATCTGACTTAGATTGCTAGATTGACAACAGTTACGAACGATTTTAATGCATGAGAAAAATGAGAAATTCTTTGTTTAGTGAATTATGTGAACAAAAAATGCTTTATGAATGTTCTGAACATGTAAATTACTTCATTGTTCTTCTTCAAATAATATGAGTCAATCATCGATTCAAAAGATCAGAAGAGCGTCGGATTATTGTAGTAGAAATGACTAACATAAACGATTAAAGCCAAAAATGAATTCGTTCATTTTGGTAGTCGACAGCAAATACGTCATTAATTTGTGTATGACTATGATCGATTGACCATTTGCGAAGAATTTTCTTTGCTTCGTCAGATAAAAGACCTTCGATGCAAACATAAATTTGTTTATCTTCTTTCCACATGTCCAATGCTTGCGATATAAGTGAGTCGATAAGAGCCGTTGAATATTTCACAGATAGAACTAGATGACGAATATGAGTAAATCGTTTTAAAATAGCATCTAATCGTAATGTATGAATATCTCGTAGACGAAAAATTTCGAGACAAACGATCTTTTGTTGTAAAATTTGATATATCGATTCACTATCAATTAATACATTAAAGCAATCGAAATCAATCGAGAGATCAGAAAGATTAGGAGCTGCCTTGAGCAAATAAAACAGTTTGCATTTTCCCTCTACTTGCAAATGTTTCAGTCGAGGTAAATGTAAATTTATTGGTTCAATTAATTGCATCATAGTAGCTAAAGAAAAAAGAATTATAAATCAATTATTCGATAGAACAAAGATTCTCGATTTTACGTCTTTGAATCCTATTCGAAATCTAGCTTGTGAAAACATGTTCGATTCAGATTCTCATCAAGGTGTACTCGGTACTAAAGGGTGCAAAGCGTAATTGATCGACGAGTGTCAAATTGTCACGTTTATCGTGATCTAATTCTTTGAAATCACATCAAGTATGGAAAACAGATAGGAAATACATAGCATCAGTCAAAATTTCGAAACATTTTTCGATAACATGTTGATACGAAAAAACTTGAAGCGATGAAGAAGTAAGAGTTAGAGCTTATCGCTTTGAATTTATTATGATGTTACGTTTTTAGAGGTTTTTAATTATGATAGTTTTCCTTTCAGAATAGAAATCTTTACTGGTTTCTTTATGTTTGAGAGCAATAGAACAAAAGAGATAAATAATTTCTAATTCCTGTTCAATAATCCTCTTGTCTTATGAAATTGAGAGATTTTTTTTTCTAGTGCATCAACAGCATAAAACTCGACATCTTGTGAAGACTGAATACCACGCATAATACGAACAATATTCTTTGTTGAAAAAGAAAAAGAAATTTTCGTCAGACATCATTATATTTGAACATTAAACATGAAAGATTTCTTTGCTATGTTAAAATACGAAGTATTGTTTCGTTAAATAGATGAATCTGAATGCAGATTTATGTTTTTGATCTTGTGAATATCTCAATGAAGACAGAAAGAAGAAACTGAAAGATACAAACATAATATTATACCTCCAACTGCTCAATTTGTCGTCATGCTCATGAAATGTGTCTAGCTAATGAGAATTCCATAATTTATTCATACATAAATTATATAGATTCTGCCCAATAGAGAATAGAAATCTTATTGACTTCGTTTTTTTTCTTCAATTTCACTGTAAATCTAAATCTATTGTTTATGAATTCTCAATTAATAAATACATAGGCTTATTCATTTGTTTTTCTTTACGTATTCCGTTTTTATGAGTGAATAAAATTTCTCTTGCTCACATTTTTTTGAAATAAATAATTAGTTTTTGTGTGAAAATTACATACATTCTTCTGAATAGTGTTCTACATTAATTTTGAGTTGCCGAAGTCGATGAAAATGTTGCACGGTCATTAACACATCGATGAAAGATGATTCTCCATAAATTCTTAGATATTCTACTGATTGCATATATTTCCAACCGGGTAACATATGTCTACCTATTGTTGTTAGTATCGATATTGAAAGCACATTATAAGGTATGGTATGAATAATAGCATATTGATGAGGTTCATTTAACCAACATGATATTGGAATATGTTTCGGCCATGTAGCACGCAAGCTATCTGTTTCGATGTGTAATTCCGAGAAGTAATAAAGAATGAACAATTGAATTTCGACGAGAGATGATGGTAGAACAATGATAAAATTCTGCCCATTGACAAGACGTTCGTCATCTGTATATAGATCAAGTGTTAGTCTATGTAAAGATGGCGTCTTACACAATATATCGATAATGTTGCTCAATTCCCAAAACATACCATTTGAATGTAATTCAAAATCTTTTAGCTGAATAAGAGGTGATACATTCATTAATGTTGTTGTTGAAACGCCTGGCGATTGTCCGAAATTTATATTCAAACGACGTACATTTGGTATAAGTTTGAAGAGATTTCCTAACATATCGCAATCAATCAAGTTGAGTGTTAATTCTTCAATGTTCGAACATCTAATGTTTTCATCATTTGTATTCAAACTTAAGAAGATGGAATCATGATCGAATAATACAGATTTGAGTCGATCATTATTTGCAGTCAAAATACTTTTCACTAGTCCACTTGAGCCCTTACCTGTGAGACGTTTTATAACAAGTTTTACAAGATGCTTGAGACCTCTTATTTCGTTAAGAAACATGACTAGATCTTTATCAATGAAACATTCAAGTATCAATGAATACAAATTTGGAAACATTGACGATAAAGTCAATTCAAAGCGTGTTGCATGTAACTTATTCGATACGAAACTAGCCCAGTTTCCATTGACGACAAATGACCGTATATTGGAGCTTATTTGAGGTAAAATGTTCGATAAAATACAATCAAATTGCTTATGTGTAATACCAATGAGATTCATAGAATGACAGAAATAGGTTATTATCGAATTAAAACGAGTATTCAGATCGTAAAAACAATAGGCAATGTCGGCACAACTAAGATATTGAAATACATGTAATGTAATTTCTTGTGGCAAAATTTCAAAATTTGATATTTTAGTCATCTAAAAGAGATACTGTTTTCATGAAATTATTCATACGAAGCAAGAGCATTATTTATTTGATTCGAGCAAAGAATGTCGTCATGATGAAAAGAAAAAGCTCGAGGTATATTTTACACCTATATGAAGCATCGATAAAAGGAGAAGAAACATACACGTGTGCATAGGCATCGCGATAATTGCGTCTCAACATCATTCACGTAAAATATGCTCCTTTTTTTATCGGTTCTTACAAACATCGAATCCGACGGATTTATAGAGAATCGATCAAACAAATTCAGTGATTGGTCCTTTTTTATAATGTGTTTTGTCAGTCAAGTAGATTGGTAGAAAAGCGACAGAAATTTCACTGTTGATCCGAAGAACATGTTTTGAAAGAGTCAGCATACAACTATTGATCGTTATAGAAAACCTTGCTGAATTGGGAGGTTCTCAGGAAACAATATCAACATGAAGATCATGATCGTACTAAAAGGATAATTTATCATACAACACACATGTGAAGAAATAATTTGATTGATGCCGACATCACTGTTTTGATATTTCATTCACTCTTGACATTGATGCAGATATTCAAGTGCCTTAGTTATATTTATATTCTTTTTTCTGTGAAAACATTTAACTATGAGTATCATTTGACTTCGTAATTTCAATTGACTGCTAGTAAGAAATTGCTCAGGCAATTACGAGAATGATCATGTTGAAAATTTGTCCTCATATATCTAAAGAGTTGAATCTACATTTGCTCGGCTTCATTTGTCAATGATAATTTGAAACAGATTCTGATGTTACTATTGACAAGGTTATTTTTCTTAGTCAATTAGTTGCCATTGAAAATTGAGAAACGAAGACGAAATACGCGACATAGTGGATTGCCAGTAAACAAAAACAGGATTCTCTATCGTTTGATGTTCAATGAAGACACGAAATTCGATCGACGCTGCATTCAATCTTTAATATTTTGAGCAAAGGAATGAATTTTTCATGTTCAAAATACGACTCCTCGTTCATCAACAGTGTTGTTTTTTTCTGCGTGCTTCTACTTCAATCACTAGAATCTTTTTTCGATTCCAATTTGAGACAACTATTACTTTTCTAAAATGTTGTACTTTTGATATACTAAACAAACAAATCAATGTTATCGTTGAATTCCGATCTATTGAATGGATTTATTGTCATAGCATCGACAATCTCAACATGGCAAGAAGCATTGGCTTCTGATAGAATTTCTGACACAAACAACTATAACCATCCAGATTTTTCATAAATAACGGTGACATGAAAACAAAATTAAAGTTCAACTAATGGTAGAAACATAATAGAAGAAAGAAATATATTGAAAGAGAACTCTAATTAAGACTTTGAAACAGAAGAACAACCACATATTCGTAGGTTTTAGAATGCAAAATTCATGAAGGGCGATCCTTTTCTCTATTGTCTGCAGAAGAGGATCTAAATGTGGACGAAAAGAAGATGCAACTCACATCCAATACTTCTAGAAGATACCTTCAGAAGTCATGACTGTTGAGTTTGTTTTAAAGGTGAACAACATTCATAAATAGATAATTCAATTAAACACCAAAAGTTTATCTATTCAATAATCTCTATGCAATCTATACACGTGAAATAAATACCGATCTGTATGCAAATAATGAAACTAAATAAAATATACAGTTAAGGATGTGAATGTGGGTAAGCTGAAGTATCACATCTTTAAGTATAAGAGAAGATAACAAGATGATAAATAGGACACAAAAACTCATACGACAAAACGCATGGTCATATGATAGATAGTTAAGTAGATGACGTTGTAATAACCACATTTATTTAAAGGTGCGTATCAAGACAAAGAT